AAAAGGGGAAAGGTGTTTTAAACAATCTTCTTTGTAAATAAATATTTTGCAGGTATATAACTTAAGGAATTTTAGAGGAGTAGGGTATTGTGGTATCAATATAAGAAATGGTGTAGGGGTCATTTTGATAGAAACTGAGGAAAAGACATTCCATAATGAGAGAAGAATTCGATGTTGCGTTAAAAAACTTAAAGAATAATAAAGTACCCGGTATAGATGGAATATATGCAGAAATATACTATATTTATTTAAATTATGGTTTGGATTAAAGCTTTGATTGTAGGTAAAAGCTAATTCTATTTTACAAACATAGTCTCAAGAATACATACATAAGGGTAAAAAGGACAATGTTATTGAGAAATCGACAGTATCAGGTACAAGACTTTATAAGTTTTTTAAAGCTACATTGATAAGAAATTCATTATTTTGTCACTGTGCGTGGTAGGAGATTAAAGTATTTAAATATCGCAGCTTTCTGGTGTAATTAGCCGCATCATGAAATTTTCAGAATTTTCGTGGAATCTTGCCAAACACTAAAACAACTACACATTAGATCTAAAGGCTAAACAAGCTAGATTACATTAAATGTCAGCAAATCCATTATACGCATAAAGTAACACTTAATAAAACTTAATAAATTGGATTTATTTTTCAACTGAGTATTTTTATACGTACCTACTTTATTTTACAAGCTGATTTTATACTATATCTACCTATCTAGCTTCTTCATTGTGAAATATGCAATTCACTGTTTGGTTTCTGGGTATCAATTTTTGGAAATTTGGGTCTGCTTTTAGCCAAATGCAGCACTCAAACCAGATCCTTATGGAAAATAGTACCGCGTCGAACTCTTTGAAACTATGGATTCTACTAGTTCTTGACGTATAGATCAATAGTGTCAATGGGTGGTAAGTTGTTAAAACTCATCTTTTTGAGAGATAGTCCCTTAAAATTGCATTCTTCCGTATGGAGTTCAAAGGTACAATTATACCTATTATACGTATAGAATACATTTGTTCAAGTACACATATGCGCATGTGTTGATGTATATTGTATATTATGGATATGTCATGGTTTCAGACCAGCGATGGTAATGCATTCTGCAAAAGTGCTGTACACCTCAACGTTGTATTCTATACTTATGGAGAATGTTGGTGTACTCAAAGATGTAATCAGGTACCAACCATCCTTGGTCCAAAACTATGACACATCCATAACATGCAATACTCATAGGTATAATATATACGTATGTATATTTGGCATATTTGATACATATAAAAGGTTTAATTGTAGCTAGGAGGTCCTTACGAAAAAATGTAGCTTTGTTAGGACAATATCTCAATGAGTCTTTACCAGTTAGAACTTGAGACTTTTGATCTACACGTCAAGAACTACCACACTCGAAAGTTTGAATAGGTTTGACAGAGGGCTATTTTCCGTAAGGGTCTAGCGGAATCCTTTATATGACATTATATTTTTGTGATGGATTACGTATGAAGAAGAATTGAATTATTTCGTCAAAGACCAATAAAGTCACTGATGAATTTTAATGCGTTTTCATCTAGAGATTTGTACCAAAATGCTTCTAAGGAGATACTTTGAATCAATCTCGGTCTATTGAAAACCGTTTATTGTTAAAAGCTTTTCTCAACTGTTTTGTTTTGTTAACTCCTGCAGCTTTCCTTGCGTCTAAAAAAACGAACGTTGCTTTTTTTCTATTCGTATCCTCATCAGTCATTTCTTTGATCAATAGTTTTGCACAACATAATGTAAAGAAACCTAGCTGTTTATTTTGTAATATGAACACTGCCGCCATTTTTCTTCCCAATTAGAAAAGTAGAAATCTGGCATATAAACTAATATTGATTTGACTTCAGATGACATACAAACCTTTATAGTTTACTGTTATTCTTAAATAAGTAGTAACGGAGGAATCATTGCATTTCTTTCAGAGATCAGATTGTATCAAGCTGAAAGAAAGAGCACCCTACCTCCCAAGGAAACTTATTCTCTAATAATCCAGCGCCTTGTAAGCCCAAATTGTTTAGTTTCAAGTTGAGATTCATTTATTTAATCATTGATTGATGATTGAAGGCTTCGGCTCACGCTGGATCCTTATTTTCTAAAATAAATTCTCGGGTTATCGGATCATTGAGAGCTTGGGCTTTTGAAATTGTACCTCGCTCTATCTATGATTATTATGATTTTCAAAGTATGGAAATCCATAACTAGGTTTTAGTGTGCCCTGCAGTTTGTCAAGGGTACCACAATACAAAGTGGTACAGATGATTCCAATGGGTAGAACTACTTGAGGAGGGGAGTTTTTTATACTTTGTATAATATGCAGTTTCAAAAATTCAGAACATCAACAAGTAGTAGTATTGGATATGTTTTATCTAGTCATTTTTCTTAAATCATTTTTTACATTATATGCACGTAATCAAATGACTCTAATATCGAATGTGATTGTAGAAAACATTCTCACCCACATTAAGTTGTTTAAGCATAGGCCTTTTTATTCTGTTTTAATATCAGTTTTTGTTTTGTGGCTGCAGTATCTTGTATCCTGCCCCGTTTTATGCTTTTGGATATTGCTTTGCTTGGATAGATTTGCTTTAAATAAATTTTGATTTGTAATTCGGTATATCGCGTTAGGATGTTAAGTTGATATAAACTGGAATTTATCGGATGTGTTCTTCTGAATTGAAACATTAGCTTAAATAACTTCTGCACAAAAGTCGCCCCTGGAACAATCACTTGCTTGTCTCCTTCTGCACCCCTCAGGTACTCTACCTAGTGGCAAATTCGGAAGTAATGACGTAGTTGCTAAATTAGGGTTTCCAGACGTATCGGGTGGTTGGTACCATAAAGAGGCATCAAGACTTATTTGTGCAGATTTTGTTACTATTATAGGAACAGAAATATTCCAACCTTGTTTTTGGGTTTATAAATTTATCTCTAACTTAAAACTTGAGAAACATGTAAAATTGTATACAAATAAGTCAACTCAATACTAATACCCTAATACACACAAACATAGACAAAAAAAAGTAAATATAATACATGTATACAAGTAGGGAACGCAACAGCTTTGTGTGATTCTTCCCATATTTTATTCTTAAATTCTTCCACCGTTTATATCTTTAAACGATTCTATTAATTCGGTTGTTTCCTCATCAAAATTTATCTGTTTTTACGATTTCCCCTATGCTGAAACATTTTCCACGAAAATGAATAGGTAATTGTTTGTTCGATATCATCAAATTCAGTTAGTTATACCTAAAACCCAAAGCAATATTTTATATTTCTTTTGTTTTATTTCACGCGATCGTTATCGTTGTACGTAATGTGATGATAAAGACCGAAAATCGTTGAGTAAAAAAAAATATTGTGCATATGTTTACGCGGTTCGGCACGAGCCGTTCAGGTATTTGAACTAAACGAGATTTGATAAGAGCGAAAGAATGTAAAACGGAGGCCGTGACCGATAACGAGCCGTATCAATAAAAACACTGGGTCGGTTGCGATGACGTGTTGGGGTCAATGTCTCCTACTCCTCCTTCTTGCCCTTTCCCCTCACTGCTCTTCTCGTACATACACGTTTATGCTTTAGCCAACTTTATAAGATACACACACACACACTACTTCCACACGCATAAACACTATACATAGATACATGCATACAACGTGCATGCATATAAGTACCATGTTGCCGTACGAGATTCCGTATGAACTATATTACAACTCAAAAGCACTATTACCTGTATGCTACACGTACACATTTGGGTATCACTTTTGCTAGTGCTTCAACACCATGGATAGCTAGGTACCAAAGGGAAGTCAGAATTTTCTAGAAGACACACTTCGGTGATAAAAAAAATAATCAAGGAAAAGCAGTTTTACTCTTTCACTCTACGTATCTGCATACTTAAAATATCCTCAATTTGAATTTCATTTTTTATAAGAATTTTCGAATATTTAAAAACTTGTAATCACTCCTTTAAAAAATTGTAGAGGATACAAACTAGTATGTATCGGAGGGCAAAAAGAAAACGTCTGCACGATAGTCGTAACTGGCCTTTGAACGTGCAAGCCATTTATTTATGGTCCTCAATAAAAATATCTTTTCAACAACTACCCACCGGGGGTAGCTTTCTAAAAGTTGTTGCTGTAAAAAGAAAAACTGTTTTTAATTTAAAATGGTTTGAATATATGAAATCCTATGACATTGTTAATTACTTAATAGTGGATTAATATGCAATATCCGGGTTCGATTCCCGGCGGAGGTGTGACAACAGCAACAATTTTTCCCTCATTAATTTGAGGTAGTTTGTAGTGGGTAAATAAAAAATCGAAAGAAAATGATTTCAAATTAATATTTAATGGTTAATGTATTCGTTTTGGCGGGTTTTCTATTAAATACCACCCTTATATAAATCTGGTCCAAAAAGTCTTTAAAATACTGGTAGAATTACCCGGTACTGCCGAGTACCTAACGTCATTGTTCGGTACACGGCTGGATCCTGACGGACTAACATAATTTCCTAAATTAAGCCATTTCTGGATTTGGCTGGGTTACGTTACGGTGGGTTGTGTTATGTTATGAAAAGAACTTCATATGAATTTATTTCAAAACTCCTTTTTTGATCATGAATTTTGCGAAGTGAAGCAAATTGAACACAACAGTGGCGCAATTCAGCACAACTTCTTTTTTTTATGGGGAAGCTAATTTAACGGACATCCTTGTAAATTATAAATTACTGCGATTATTATTTATGGTAATTTATTAATGCGTTTAAGCAAATTCACTTTCGTTCTTTTCCGGAGGCAAAGCAAACAAATATTGAAATTCTCGAATAGCAAGTTTGCCTCTCCATCTCTCTTCGCCTCTCTCTATCGCCCAAACGCAACAAACTTTCACTATTAATTGTGTGAGTTAACTATGTTGTATTTTACGTGTGGCGAACGCGGCTCATTCCCTCACTCACTTACTCGCTTACCTTTCTCGTGTATTCTGGCGTCCGGTCGCTATCACCGCTTTCCCATTTCCGAACACCACTTGCTATGTTCTATGAACGATCACTCCGTAATAAAGCAATCCATCACAAATGAATCACACGGAAAATTCCGCAGAAGTATTCTAACCTCTTACCGCCAAGTCCGATTCGCGGACGGTACACTCCAAATAATAATAAAAAATATTATCGTAGAATCCGCGCGTCCGTTGTCAATAAGAAAGGTTAGTTAATCGTTAGCCGATGTCGTACGCGACTGGAGCAAATAACAATAAAAACGTCGAAATATGCACGCGATGGGCTCGTTGATAACACGCATCGTCTGCGCGAGAATGTAATAATGTAGTAAAGTGTTGTCCTTTCTTCCAAGTCAAGCGGGCGCTCTCTCGCTCATAGCCTGCTTGCTTGCTTTGCCTCATTCCTCGTTCGCTTTCACAGCGTTGCTGATGTTGATGCTGCTGCTGTTAGGCGTCGGCGACGCCGTTGGTTCGACGTCCACCGTCGTTGTAGGTGCCGTTGGTTGCGTTGTGTCGTTATGCCGCTCTGGCCCTTTCGTCGAGCTTTGCTCGCTGTCTCACCGATCGAACCGAACGTCCGTTGAGGAAGGTTATGGATCGAGAAGGCTGCTGTCACGGTAGAACGACTCGCGAAGAATCATGAGATTATCATCATCTATCTGCGTTTGCGTGCCAACACAAGATAATAACCGGTACACAATACTCATTTCAGGATCACGACTAATTCCTTTGATTTTATTGTGGATGAAATGTTGTGAAGGTAATTAATTGGTTGACGGTTAAAAAGCCACGTGGTAACAGAAAGTGGTACCATGCGGCTTTTAATTACTTGATCAATTAATTATGTACTTCTGTATTTTACATTTGGGATATAAAGTAATTGTAAATTATATACGTCAAAGTAAGGTCTTTTGAATTACATTTGCCTTCCTAAAATTTTAATTGAAGGGTATTGAAGCCAACTTTTCAAAAAATAAAAACAGGCCTGTATGTTTGCTTGCATGACATTCCTCAAAAAGAAAACGAAACATATATTCCAATTTCTTATATTCATTTGGCTCTTTTGAATACCTACTGTATTATACAGAAATTCTTGCAGTGGTATACTCTTTACTGTTCGATTATCATCATAAGGTCGTCAGTACTAAGACTGGTTGAAAACGCACCTTCAGTCTTTCCTATCCTGAGCTAATCTTCGTATTTCCCTAAAACTAGAACATCCCATGTCCTTAACTATTTGTGAACACTAATTTTATCTAGGTCTACTTCTACCCCTCTTAATTTCTGTTTCTGCGTCTGCTTCTCTAATTAGTCCTTTATGCCTGACAAGGTGTCACATCAACCTATTTCGTCCATTTCTTACTAACCTCTACATATAGTGCCCTCTGTTCTCCTACTTTTAATTCCTCTTCATTTCTAACCTTCTTTATCCACGGTATCCGCCGCGCTCACTGTCTACGGTTCGTACCCATACACAGCCTTGCTCCAGTCATATACCTTTAGCAATCTTTTCAGACTTTCTAAATTAACCGTTTGCGAGCATAGATGTGAATTCTTCTCATTAAAGGGTACTCTACTCTCCACTATCTTCTTTTATTTATTAATTATATTTAAAAAAAATGGTATCGCCGACGGAATCCTTTATGAAATTAAATATTTAGTTGGGCAGTGATTTTATTTGTAATGAGTAAATAGAAATTATTTTATTAATTATTATTGTGTGTTATTCCCAGAATGAGAATGATAAGGATTTTTATAATTTATTAAATTGAACGTGTTGTTTATGTCCTCCAACAATCANAATTTTGCATGAAGGTTTTGAAAAACTTTGGATAAACATTTGTTTATGTACCAAGAAGCGATTACAGTACGCTGATTTTCCAATACTATTCGTTTCCAAAATACCCCGCCGTGTAATAAATTAATTATTGATATTATTTGATGTACCAGTTTCATACATCTTCAACATTTCTACGGCACGAGTTCATTCTGGCTTCCTTTTGTTCAACTTTGAGATCGTGCAGCACCAATAGCATGCAAACATTTTTTACTCCAGAATAATCTCTAAATGTTAGTGTTATACGTAGATTTTCCTTTAATAATTCTGACACTTGCCATGTTTTCTGGACCAGTAACTTCAACGGGATACCCTGATCTTGGAATGACATCAAAGTTACGAAGTTCAAACTCAGGATACGATGAACTGTTGTGCAATATGGACATTTTTCTCTCAAAACTGTTCATTCCTTCCACACACTTATCTGCAGACAAAAAGTTGTAACGCATAACAACACGCAGATCATCACGAGACCGCCCAGATATTTTATTTATTTAGAAAAATTGTTATCAGTTAACTAAAAAATGTCGACTTATTATATATGAACTGTTAAGATGTTAACAGGAGTTTATGATAATAATATTTCCCTACCCTCCATTAGTAGAAGTAGTGTATTGCAAGACTTACCTGATGAAGTTTGCATTGGCTATAAAGAAATATAAATATAATATAAATAAAGAAAACATCTCACAGGGTCGGCATGCTTAAAACATGTGTTCAAAATAAACGTAAAAAAATTGCTTAAGCCATATGAACGTATATTTAAAACATTTTGAGGTAAATATTTCGTATCACAGCTTTTTCAAAAATGTAATATTTTATTGTTGGGAATGACTTAAAATGANTTAATTATGTACTTCTGTATTTTACATTTGGGATATAAAGTAATTGTAAATTCTATACGTCAAAGTAAGGTCTTTTGAATTACATTTGCCTTCCTAAAATTTTAATTGGAGAGTATTGAAGCCAACTTTTCAAAAAATAAAAACAGGCCTGTATGTTTGCTTGCATGACATTCCTCAAAAAGAAAACGAAACATATATTCCAATTTCTTATATTCATTTGGCTCTTTTGAATACCTACTGTATTATACAGAAATTCTTGCAGTGGTATACTCTTTACTGTTAGATTATCATCATAAGGTCGTCAGTACTAAGACTGGTTGAAAACGCACCTTCAGTCTTTCCTATCCTGAGCTAATCTTCGTATTTCCCTAAAACTAGAACATCCCATGTCCTTAACTATTTGTGAACACTAATTTTATCTAGGTCTACTTCTACCCCTCTTAATTCCTGTTTCTGCGTCTGCTTCTCTAATTAGTCCTTTATGCCTGACAAGGTGTCACATCAACCTATTTCGTCCATTTCTTACTAACCTCTACATATAGTGCCCTCTGTTCTCCTACTTTTAATTCCTCTTCATTTCTAACCTTCTTTATCCACGGTATCCGCCGCGCTCACTGTCTACGGTTCGTACCCATACACAGCCTTGCTCCAGTCATATACCTTTAGCAATCTTTTCAGACTTTCTAAATTAACCGTTTGCGAGCATAGATGTGAATTCTTCTCATTAAAGGGTACTCTACTCTCCACTATCTTCTTTTATTTATTAATTATATTTAAAAAAAATGGTATCGCCGACGGAATCCTTTATGAAATTAAATATTTAGTTGGGCAGTGATTTTATTTGTAATGAGTTAAATAGAAATTGTTTCATTAATTATTATTGTGTGTTATTCCCAGAATGAGAATGATAAGGATTTTTATAATTTATTAAATTGAACGTGTTGTTTATGTCCTCCAACAATCAAAATTGCAAAGTAAAAAGTTAGTGTTGGTCGCTATAAAAAATAAGAAATCCGCTTTGAAAGAGAGTTTATCTTTGCCCTGCATTCACGTGGTCCTGTAGTACAACCACGTTTTCCACGGGATCACTGCCCTTCTAACGATGCGGATCGTTCACAGGAATTTCACCGACGCCGGCGCTTATGAAGCGATTAAGATGGCGCCTCCAGCGCCAGTTTCTTTGAAGGTGAATTCACATTGTAATTCATTCATTGTTTTAATTCATTTTCTCTGTAACAAAAAAGTTAAATATTAAATCGATTTAAAACGGAAGAACGTTGTACCAACTTCTACTAAGTTTACAAATATTTTTTTAAATAAATTATTATAAACTTATTCGAGTACATATTTTCTTTTATTATAATCGACTGCTATGATGCCTTTGTGCTATTCTTTTATAGGTATGAGGTTTGAACTCAGTACTTGTTGCAGACACAGTTGTTAGTATAGTGCAATTGTACTGATATTCACAAGATTTTTATTGAAGTAGTATTTCGAACTCGGTTATGAAGAACAAGAAGAGCTAACAAATAATTATAGACGAGTGTTCGTTATTGACGATTTGCGTAATAGAAAATAGTCGCCATCATTTTAAAATAATAATGACACTTCATTCAGAAATTCGAAAAAATGCATAAAAATAATGAAGGAAAATAAACATAAAATGGTTGCATTTTGTACGCCTGGATGAGCACTAGAAGAAAAGTGCTACTGCAAAAGATAAACTAAATTACTTTGAACCTGGGCGTTAATAATAAAGGATTGTTTCTTTACATAACTATACAATTTGTCGCAAGCCCGAAATATAGAAGGTTAAGTGTTAGATAAATATAAGAATTTTAAAATCACATTCAGAATTGATTAGATTGATTTTACAAAGAAATACTGGTTTGCTGTTACCAATTGGGCCTGCTAATTTCCCGTTATAACCGAGTTTGATCCGTATTCGTTATAACTGAGTTTGACTGAAAAATATCTAAAATTTTTGAACCATTAAATTCAGAGGCAAAGGTATCAAAAATTGGTTTACTGGGGTCACTCCTACGTAAGACAGGTTAGTCCTAGGAAGCCACCAAAGCTACTTGAAAGCTAACAAGGCAAGTAGCTCTTAGGTTGAGGCTTGTCCAAATCATTAGTATGTTTAAGATTTGCACATTCCGCACAAGCCAGCTACGTCTTTGGGTATGACATCAACTGGTGAGTAAGCAGCCGATGCTACACTCCTGGATCTCACTCATCCCCGAGGTTCAGGTATGGGCATTCCGGTGGCTATTCTGAAGCAGTTCTTGTTGGGCGGATCGATTCTGCTTTTGCTTAAAAATGTACAGCCCCCTAATGGGTCAGGCTGCCCATCTAATCCATAGCTGCTCTGTTCAATACACTTCATGTCATTACCTCCCTAATTGGTCAGATTACCAATAACACTACGATATCGTCAGATGCGCACCACGGTGCCAAAATGCTTACTTTGCCTTAGTCAAAAATGATATTCACCCCACTCTGAGGACCAGGTGTATACAGTTATCACATTAGGTTTGTGCTGGCCTTTTAATAGGTTTGCATGCCAGCTGTTGCCTATTTCTTATATGCACATGATCCTTTAGTCTCGCAATAACGTTATATGAGTAAAGACCTGGGGGAGATTGGGAATCGAATATGCACCTAAAATTAAGGTACCTATATATAGTGTTTTTGAAGTGAAACTTCTTTACGCACGGTAGGGTAAGTTCGTTTCATGCGAGTTGCTATGTAACGAAATCATGCAACGGATATCCCCCTTTACTCGGACACATAGTAGAGTTCGTAGTGGGGATCGCTTGAACTGTGAGCGCGCTTTAATGCAACGTTCGTTACAAGCAACTCCGGCATGTATAGTGTAAAA